TACATATTAGAAAAATTTTTAATTTATAAATTAATAATTTTAAATATCAAAATTAATTATTAAAAAATATAAATAAATAAAATACTAATAAAAGTAAACAATTTTTTAATAATCTTAGTAAACAAAATAACATGCTACAACAGCTACAAGCCTACACAACCCACCGGTCCTTAACAAGTCAAATCACCAAATCAGAGTCATTTTGGCAACGTTAATTAATCCTCCATTATTACAATAATATTATGAAAATAAATATGTTTTACGACCTACTTAGTAAAAAAAAAAACAGGAAAAAAATTTTAAATAATGTAGAAACGGAGCTTGTGCCCATTTTTTACGGGTTTGGCCCGGCATTTATCATCTAGAGTATTACTACGTACGGTGTAATTAAACTTGGAGGCCGGCCAAGAAGGCCACACCAGTTGACGGCAACCAGGATGATCCATATATGAACTGTGCCACCGTGAATTTACTGGCCTCCGCCTCCGACGTGATGACTCGATATCCCGGCCATGTTACCCTTTGTCCGACGGCCGCACCGGGTCCGCCGTTCATGTACTCACCGTAGTACAATGTGTCAAGGGCAAAGTCGCCATCCCACTCTAGCCACCCTCGAGGGTGGATATGGTCCCCCATGAAGGATAGCATGTAGACAGTTCTAGAGTATAGCTTCCACGGACGGCCGAGGTACGTCTGGAAGCTGCCCTTGGAGGCTACTAAATCGGGGGCGGCGAGGATCCGGCAGGCGTGGATCGAAATCCCCGTGTTTTGATTCGGGTCCTTTCGGTTTTGGGCTGTGATGGTGTTCTTCTGGAGGGCCATAGGCTTCCGCGCGAAAATGCTACAGTTCTGAAGCACCACCGCGGCGTTACCGAAGATGAAATCCACCGTACCATAGATGTCACATTCACGGTAGAATTGGCGGTTGGAGTGAACGTAGAGTGTGTCTTGGTAGCCAATTATGTTGCACCGGTAGACCACGGCGTGGTCGGCTCCAACACGGAGGGCCACAGCTTGGTGCTTTTCCGGTCCGGCCCAGTTCTCAAATGTAATGTCTCGTGCTATAAAGCCTGACCCAGTCGCCGCTGAAAGAGATTAAAAGCGAAGTCATGAGTTCACTTTTACACAAATTCTAAAATAACTGTCTCTCATCTTTTTCTTAATAAATATGTGTGGAAAACATTCCAAATTCCGGAGAGCTTCAGCTTTAAGTTATGAAAGTGGGAATCAAGAAACATAGCTTAAGCAGTCTGCAAAAGGGTAAAAGAACCTTCCATTTTGGGACCAGAATGAGAAATTTATAAATTAGATGGAGTTTATTCTCCTTTTTTTTTTTTTTTTGGTTCTCATTTTAAGTAAACAAAGTAAAACAATTGCAGTAAAAATGAGAAATTTACCGAAAGAAGCTGTATGAAATGTGGTCATGTCATCATGTACACTTTTCCCTCCCGAAATTACCGTCTTACCCTTCCCTTCACCTATGAACATTATATTTGTTTTCTTCCTCCCTACCTTCAAATTGCTTTCTTCATACCTGTTAAATTTGCAAATTTTACATAAAAATGTTCCTTTCGACTAAGATTGGCAAAAATAAAAGGTTGATTCAGACCAAAAAAAATGGATATAATTTGGCCTTTTATAACGTGTGAAAAGTGCCCGTGAACATCGCAATCATCTTTAATCTGTACCCAACATTTTATTCTGTTAATATAGACCAGCAAAGATCACTTTTTTTAAAAATTCCAGATGCCACCCAACTACTAAACTCTTTTCGTGAACAAATTGATATTATCATGATTAACGTGATGAAGTCAATTCAACGAGAAATAATCATCATAATAATATAGAAAATTATTTTATAAGATAAATTATTAAATTTATTTTATAAAATTATTTAAATATCTTTAATTTTATTTTTATATTATTTTTTAAAAAAATACTTAAATAATTGTATAAAATAAACTATATACAATTTATTATATAAAATAGTTTTCAGATAATAATAATCATAAAATGACAGAACGGGAGGGTCATTTTCGTCATTTAATTTCAGTAACGAAAAGTGGTGAAAAGCCATAAAGTCATCATTAACTTTGTTATCAAAAAGGAATTTTACCTCCCTGCCCCCACGAATATGATGAATCGCCGGTTACTGTTCTCCGGCGCCTTCTTGATCGCCTCCGTGATCGTCTTCACTGTCCCGTTGCCGCTAGCGGACACGATGACATCGGCCTGAATTGTCGATATCGGCGCGTCCAGGAGTTCCCTCTCTTTCCTGCCCAACCATTCTGGGAAATTGTCTTTATCGACGACGTTGTCGGCCTCCGAGAACAGCCTCCTCCTGTTCTGTATTGGAACTCCGGCGAATTCATCCCCGCCGCTGGCGGAGAAAATCGAGAGGCAGTTACTCACTAACTCCGACAGGTCCTTCAGTTTCTGCGTCATCTGGTCCTTGACGGCACCCCTAACATCGTCGAACCCCTCCGAGCACGTGTCCTGGTTCGTTAGCGCGGCGCTCAGCCACGTCATAACGTCCTGAGTGGACCCCACCTTGAAATAATTACTGTTCCCGTTGCCGGCCCCGGGAGCCACGGAGAAGAGGGAGCGGCCAAGCGCGTCCACCGAATTGTCCAGGAGCTCGAGGCAGTCGTCGTACGCCGACCGGACACGCGGATCCATCTGGAGGTAAGAAATCATTTGCGACTGATACAGTGCCTTGCTGAAATGCTGCAGCGTCATGTTGAACGAAATGTGAACCAGGTCCACCTCGCTGGCCGTCTCCGCACCCGGAAACCCAACAAGCGACTGGATGCAGAGATTCGGATACAGAGTTTTACTACACGTCTTGGCAATTGCCTTAGTGGGCTTCCGGCCGATGGTTTTATTGGCATCCGATGACCCGATCCGGAACCCGACAAACAGAATAGCGCAGACCGCCGATGCTATAATCAAGGCCAGCGAGAGAAGCGAAAGAATGATCAGCTTTTTTTTCTTGTTGCTTCTGTTGACCGGTGCGACTGAGACACCCTCAGCAGCGCCGGCGCCGTCCTCGAGCGGCCTTGCAGTGTCGGAGGCTTTAGGATCAGAGGGTTGGAGTCTGTCGTAACCCATTGTGGTTTATGGGGAATCGGTGGCGCTGAGCGGTGGCTGAAGGTGGTATAAATGAGTGAAGCTGAAGCAGTACTAGAGTGGGAGATATATAAATATGGGGGGAAGATGGTTGGTGTGGAGTCTATGTCTAAGCGGGTTAGCTGGCTTCTACTGCCTACTTACTTGAGAAGGAGGGGGAGAAAAATTGGGGGGAGGGGGTTTGTCTGTTTGTTTTATTTCCGGGGGTGATGTATCAAAAGTTACCTACAGTAGCCTTTATGAGTAGACAAATTAAATAAGATGGTAGTGCATAACTAGTTAGACATGTAAAAAAATTAAAGTTTTAATGTATTGTTATTTTATTTAATTAAAAATTTAAAAATTTATCTTAATAAATATGGTTAATATTTATATTTAGAAACTAATTATATTTAGGAAAAAATATATGTTAGTTTCGATTCTCAAATTAAATTAAAATTTAAAAATCTATCTTATTAAATATTAATATTTAGATTTGAAAACTTATTATATTAAAATATATAATCGATTTCCAAATCTAAGTATTAATATTTAATAATATTTATTTCTAATTTTAAATTAAAATTTCGGTTTCTAAATATATGTTGGGATTATAATTTTTTTAAGACTCAAAACCGACACATACTAATCTCTTAATGCATTTATAAACATTTAATAAAATAAATTTTTAAATTTTAAATTAATCTTCTTTTATGTTGATTGCACAATGAGAGGCAATTTCTCTCGTCCTTTACCCTACATCACTCACGTGCCATGTGACTTAAATTCAAAACTTCTTACTTGCACAGAATGAAATTACCATAAATTATTTAGATTATTGCTTTTAAATTGAGTTTCAATTGAATGAAACAATGTTTATATTAATTCTATTAAAATATTTTAGATACAATCTTAAGAAAATAGTGCCTATCTACTTTATCTTTTAAAAATTAAAAAAAATTTATTTTAAAACTATATCATTTCAATAAATTTTCATTGATCAAAATACTTTTTTTTAAAGTATGAATTATAGTTTTTTTTATTATGATACTTTATTGAAACAATTTAATTTTATAATAATTTTTTATTAATTTTTAAAAAGTAAGATAAATAAATACTAATCTTAATCTATTAACATTA